TGAGACTGTATCAAGTCTAAATATCCAGAATGTCTCTCTGTTGAGTAATAATTTACCCCTGTCTCCACCTCTTCGTGGTTCCGGGACATGGTCTATTGCGGTAAATTTGAGAGTTGTAAGTGGATGCTGTAGGTCCAGAAAATGTCTAGCGACTGGTTTGTCACTTTTTCCATCTCTATATGCAGTTCGAATGTTAGAACGATGTCCTCGAATACGGTCACATAGTTGAGTTTCTGTCTTGCCTATATACGACAAGCCACAAGGGCATGTAATTTTATATATCACAAACATCGTTCTACAGGTAATTGTAAAGTTAATATCAAACCTTTCATTTGTATGAGGATGATTGAAGGAGCGTGATGGTACCATGTGGCTACAAGTTACGCAGCCCAAACATCTAACACTGCCCCGTTTCTGAATCTTTTCGGTTTGTGTATAACTTTGTATGGGATCTGTCTTAACCAGCATATCCCGTAAATTTCTGTTTCGTTTGTAACATATAAGAGGTTGTTGTCTAAAGATCAATGGAAGCGTGGAATCTTGTGCCAACATATTCCAGTTTCTTTTTATGGTATTTGACAATTTAATTGCCTTGTCATTATAGGTCATAGGACATACTATTCGACTTTGTGAAATAGCCGAATTTCTTGGACTATGTTCTCTAGCTTGTCTTAACGACAATTCCAGGTCTAACCTTTTATAACCCCTGGACAGAAATTTTTCTTTCATTTCTCCCAATTGTTCTTCCATTCTTTCATTAGATGAATTATTGCGTATAGTTCCTAGAAATTGTGCTTTGGGTAATGATGCCTTTAAGCGTTCCGGGTGGGCACTACGTGCATGAAGGAGTGTGTTCCTATCCGTTGGTTTAGTGTATAAAGAATATTGAAGACTGTTGTTTTCAATCCAAATCTGTAAATCTAGAAAATGTATCTTTTTGGTACTTATTTCCGACGTAAATCTAATAGGACTATTTAATCCATTCAAATTGTCAACCATCTGTTGCGCTTCTTGCACTGTACCAGTCCAGATTATTAGTAGGTCATCGATAAATCTGAAAAAATTCATAATTTTATCTCCATAGATTGGAAGTATGTATGTTGTTTCAAAGTTGTACATGTATACATTCGCGTACATGGGGGCCATTGCCGCCCCCATGGACGTTCCTGCGATCTGTAAAAACCAGTCTTGTTCAAATCTGAAATAATTGTTGGATAATGCTAGTTCCAACATTTGGAGAATGTATTCTATACACGGCCCTTTATACGATTTTGAATGTGTGAGAACTTGTCTCATTGCTTCTATCCCCTGTGTATGGGGAATTACCGTATACAGACTTGTAACATCCATAGTCATTAGTACCATCTTCTTATCTTTCATTTGTATTGATGTTAATTTCTTGATTAATGTGGGGGTATCCTTGATGCAAGTTTCTAGATCTGATACTGGTTGTTTGAATAGTGTATCAAGCCACTTAGCTATAGGTTCCAGCACACCCCCCACTGCCGAAACTATCGGTCTCCCAGGGGGGTTTATTGGATCCTTATGCAATTTAGGGATTGTATAGATGACCGGTATTTTGGGGTACTTATTGTACAAACATTCTGCTGTCTTTGGTTCGATATAACCTGCCATTACTCCTATGTTCAATACATCTTCAATTTTTCTCTGTATCTCCTTCGTGGGATCTTGTTTCAATTGTTTATATGTAGACTTGCATTGTAACTGTGCCCTTAATTCCTCAGCATATTTCGTATACTGCATGACCACGATACCTCCACCTGTCAGCTGGTCGAATTATAATATTGGGATCTTCTGCCAAATTCTGTACAAGTTTTCTCTGTTTGTTAGTCAGATTCTGGGGTTGTCGTTTATATTTTGATATCTGCATTCGGGACTCATTCATCACTGTAGAGATATATGTTTTTAAAGTTGGATTATTAGTGACTGGATCAAATGTTGATTTAGGTCTTAATATTCCCTGTTGCTGTCCCTCTATCAAATTTGGTTGAACAAGTTTTTTAGCATAATATTCTTTTAAACGTAAATTTCTTCCAAAACGAAACATCTCTGTATTCCACTTAAATAAATGTGGTTTGGAGGTAGGAACAAAAGAGAGACCCTTGCTGAGAATTTGATTTTCTTCAGATGTTAACTGTCTCTCTGAAAGATTAAAGATGGGCATTACTTCCTTGGAGGTTTTGAGCGATTGCCCAAAGGTCTTACCCCCCTGTCCTCTCCTGATGTAACCTCGTCTTGGCTTTTTGTGCGGCTGCGTGTTATAGTGGCTCCCCCTGTGGTTTCTAAAAAAACTTTTTGTGGTTGTCTGAAAGATTCATTATCTGAAGCAGACTCACTAGAGGTAATGTCTACTGTAGGAACCTTCGGTCTTATTATGCGTTTCCTTGGGCGTCTTTGTCTTTGTTGATTCCCTGAGAGCCATTTATATACAGTGTGCTCTCGATAATCCTGTTGCACACGTTCCAACTTCTGCTTTTTGAATTTTATTAATTCATTTTGATATTTGGCCACCTCTTCCTTTAAATTTTGTTGTAGTCTAATGCCTTCCGTTGTATTTAATAGAAGTGCATGTTGTGTTTCGATATCTACAATTTTTTGACGTACATCGTTTAAATCTGACCTAACATCCTTAATGACAATCAACATTAAGCCGAGAGAAGCTCTATTGAGCACTTGTGTCCATTCTCTGCAGACCTGTGATTTATGTCTGCCAATTGTTGGAACATTCATTATTCTAAATCCTCTGGGAATATGCTTAGACTTGAAATAATCTGAGAGGAATACTCCATGAAGATCTAAATCCACTGCTTTTTTCTGTAATTTCAACAATTGAAAATAAACATCCTTACTGGTATATGTAGTAGTAAATTCCAAACTGGACTTATCCCATAATATGGCTTTTGTCTCTTCTGGGGTAAATTGCAGAGTATCTGCATTTTCTGAAAAAGCTCCTGCTTGCAATAAAAAATCATCCATTTCTCAATCCTGGTTAGATCTTAGTTCAATGTAAATTAGCTAAATACTCAAGTAGTTAGCTTAAAAAACAAAACAATGTTGCTGGTGCATAGGTAGAGTTTTCCCTTTAACTCAGATAATAAACATATAGAATACAAAAGTTCCTTGCACTCACGCTTTAAATAATGAGCTGTGCCTTAAGAGGCTCACCGGGCGGCAATGGCCCCCATGTACGCGAATGTATACATGTACAACTTTGAAACAACATACATACTTCCAATCTATGGAGATAAAATTATGAATTTTTTCAGATTTATCGATGACCTACTAATAATCTGGACTGGTACAGTGCAAGAAGCGCAACAGATGGTTGACAATTTGAATGGATTAAATAGTCCTATTAGATTTACGTCGGAAATAAGTACCAAAAAGATACATTTTCTAGATTTACAGATTTGGATTGAAAACAACAGTCTTCAATATTCTTTATACACTAAACCAACGGATAGGAACACACTCCTTCATGCACGTAGTGCCCACCCGGAACGCTTAAAGGCATCATTACCCAAAGCACAATTTCTAGGAACTATACGCAATAATTCATCTAATGAAAGAATGGAAGAACAATTGGGAGAAATGAAAGAAAAATTTCTGTCCAGGGGTTATAAAAGGTTAGACCTGGAATTGTCGTTAAGACAAGCTAGAGAACATAGTCCAAGAAATTCGGCTATTTCACAAAGTCGAATAGTATGTCCTATGACCTATAATGACAAGGCAATTAAATTGTCAAATACCATAAAAAGAAACTGGAATATGTTGGCACAAGATTCCACGCTTCCATTGATCTTTAGACAACAACCTCTTATATGTTACAAACGAAACAGAAATTTACGGGATATGCTGGTTAAGACAGATCCCATACAAAGTTATACACAAACCGAAAAGATTCAGAAACGGGGCAGTGTTAGATGTTTGGGCTGCGTAACTTGTAGCCACATGGTACCATCACGCTCCTTCAATCATCCTCATACAAATGAAAGGTTTGATATTAACTTTACAATTACCTGTAGAACGATGTTTGTGATATATAAAATTACATGCCCTTGTGGCTTGTCGTATATAGGCAAGACAGAAACTCAACTATGTGACCGTATTCGAGGACATCGTTCTAACATTCGAACTGCATATAGAGATGGAAAAAGTGACAAACCAGTCGCTAGACATTTTCTGGACCTACAGCATCCACTTACAACTCTCAAATTTACCGCAATAGACCATGTCCCGGAACCACGAAGAGGTGGAGACAGGGGTAAATTATTACTCAACAGAGAGACATTCTGGATATTTAGACTTGATACAGTCTCACCAAAAGGACTTAATGAAATGATATCGTATCACTCATTCCTTTAATGCAATGCTTGCAATGATAATGTAAATAATATTTGTATATAGTTTTTGTATATATTAATTATGTACAGATAGTTAAAATATGAATACATGATGTATATTGGGTACTTATGGATATATAGGTTAGTCAAGTTATTTAATATGAACTAATAACTGTGGAAATAGTACTTCTACTTAGAAATTTCCTAATTTAATAATTGGCACTATATACAAGTTACCTTATTATACAATTATGAATAATTCATATTGGTATGGGTCTAGGTAAAACATAAAATTCGTGATATATAGGGTTCAGATGTAGGCTTTTTTGAATTAAGGGAGTATATGATAAGTTACTTCAGTAGTCTATTTAATGACATCTATTTTGAAAACTGTAATAACATAGAGCTAAAGGAATACAAAAGTTCCTTGCACTCACGCTTTAAATAATGAGCTGTGCCTTAAGAGGCTCACCGGGTGCCAATCCTTTAGTGATGTTAAATGTAGTCAGTGAAGAAAGCACATATATATATGTGTAAAAATCCAATCCTTGCACTCACGCTTTCTAGCTGGTGTTGGCCGGGTGCTTGAAATCCAGGGAAAAACATGTATATGTAGATAGTGATCAGCACTCTCTGACTTTTTCAGTTCCAACAGGAACTTTCATCAGGATCAGGCATGCCTGATCCTGATGAAAGTTCCAGTTGGAACTGAAACGTTGATCTTGTAATGGATATTTAATAAACAGTAAGTTTTAACCTTCAAAGTCCGAGAGTGCTGATCACTATCTACACATATATATATATATATATATATATATATATATATATATATATGTGTGTGTGTGTGTATGTAGTTTTTGTAGTGTAGTTTGAATGTGCAATGTTATATATTTGCATTTTACTGCAATGTAGGCATTTGCAAAAAAGATTGTTTGCATTTTTACATGTGCATTTTAATTTTGCTAAATTAGCACACCTTTTCCTCTTCAGATTTAGAATAAGAAATTAATCAAAAGTTTGATTAGATAGTTTAGCACTAGATACTAAGATTAATGTGTCATTAATGAAAATAAGGACTAAGTTAACATTTTAAACTTTCATCCCAATGGTGAAACAATAACATTATTTATAATTTTATTATAGAATCTGTCATTCAATTAAAATATAAATCTTGGAATTAAAAAATATGCTAAAAAGCACAAATCTGAAATTTTTATTATCACTATCAACAATACAGAAAAGTAAACATAAATATCACTTTAAGCAGCACAAATGTCATGTTTACAAAGCCGTAATATGTTCTACATTTAAGTGTATTTATAGTTCCCAGACAAATTAAAACTATTAGGAATGTTACCAAGCACTGATTTAAGTGTTCCTCGTAGCTGTTATATTTTATGAACAGGGACATTATTAAAAATAAAAGATCTCCACTGGCACATAAAAGAACACTGTTAAGAGATTAAATGTCAAGCAAAAGCCACATAAAGGCAAAATTTAGTGAGTTCCAAAAGGATTATCAGAGAACTTTTATATGACCTGCATGTCACTTACAATAAAACCATCTGTACTGAAATAATGCAAAATTAAATGCATATTTAATTCCAAATGTAACAATAGAACAAAAAATAGCCAAAGGATTTAACTGTCATTTTGTATTCAGTTGTTTTTACGCTTTAGGGGATATAGTCACTAGAACAAAATAAGTGACAGTATAAAAGGTCATGTTCTATAAAGTAAAAATGGGTACTTGTTGTATTTCTGTATTGGATATAATAATAATAAAAATGTTCTCTTGTGGATTTTGATTAAACTACACTACAAACATAAACATAGCCTGGATCTGGGTGAGATCTGCTATGGTTTGATATAGAAATGACTACTGGTCTTTAGGGCCAATCGTTGGTAAATAAAATATTACCAATGGTATCAAAGATGGTATACCGGTGGCTTCTGGCATGGTTAAGGTGGGGTTTTTCAAAGTCTGTCCACTACCAAGCTTCAGTATGCTCTAGTGGTTCATGATATTATAAATAACTAATGTACTAGAGGCAGGCAAAGATATACATAATGGAACGATATACAAGTCATGTAGTGGTGGAAGTGGTAGCAAGGAAAGGATGAAACTGATAATAAAGGAGGTGGGAGAGGCAAAATGAAATGTATTGTAAGACAGAGATGATGTCAGGGTCAAGATACAAAATCATAAACACTAATAAGTTAGAAATATAGAAATAGAAACATAGTGGATGGGAAATGGGCTTGGGAGGGTCTTGGTTAACCGGCTGGGTATATCTGCCCAGATCGAGGGAATTTTGGCTCCCTTGCTCATATTTGCTAGTCACTCTAGGGGTCTTGGTGACATTGGCTTTGTATTTCTGGATTTCTGAGTGAGTTTGGCAGTTGCAACGACAGAGATTAGGGTGAGGTTGGTGTACACCCATTGGCCTCTAAACTATCACTTCTTTTTGTATGAATGGAGTGTTATCTGTCTGTTAATACAATATTTTTTGAATATTGTAGAAGAGCCTTGATTGATGATTTTTATTTTTTATTTTTTTATGTTCTGTATTTTATCTTATTATGGTCACTTGTCGGACTTGGGAGTCCAAATTTCATTCAGGATATTACTTGAATGGCCCTCTGTGGGCAAGACACCAACACAATACTAAATACTGTAATCTATATTTTGCTGAGGGCCTGTGTGCCCTATTGACATCTTTGCTTTGCTTGTGGATTACAAAAAAACCTCCTATTTAAAAAATAAATAAATAAAAGAAATAGAAACATACTAACACATGCCTCCTAACATTTCAAATGGACAAAGAGAGACACTTTAATTATAGGGGTGTTTATACTGAAAAAATTGTATCTTGTTTGCATGGACTGATTTCTAAACACATTTATCATAGTTTAAAGACACACTACAGTAAGAAATATTGCTGGGTAGTTCTGTTATACACTCGGGCACACCATCAATATAGTGGTAAATAGAGACAGTTAGGAGTTATGCTAACAGAGTATATTACCAAGCCTTTGAATGGCATAGCTTAATGCAAATAGATCACAGTGACACAAATATATATAACATAGCAGTCACAAGAACCCCAAGGTCAGTAGATCAAGAGGCACATGAATATAATAGGTTAGTTAATGATAATTGACCATGGAAACACCTTAAAAAAATCTAGTATTAGAGAAAACCTTATTTTTAATAGTCTGGCAAATATTAATATACAATTTAAAATAAAAAGGCACACCAAAAGAAACTAAATAGGGAAATGCAGAATTAGTGCATGAGACTTTAATAGCATGGTATTTGGCAACATTTAGGGTTAGATAACCTTTGGCACTACTGATGTTGTGAACTACATCTCCCTTGATGCTTTGTTGCATTATGGCTGTAAAAGCATTAAGGGAGATGTAGCCCTCAACATCTGGAGTACCAAAGGTTACCTAACCTTGGGCTATAATATGAGTGTAATTTTAGTGCACTAAAATACTATTGTATGTAAGACAAGACATTGCAAATGGCAGCATAGCCTCTAGAATAATCATTACCAATCAGAAAAATGTGGCTACAAGAGGGCAAGCCGAGAGAGTAACTGTGACTGGTGATTGAATGGGAATATGTACCATAGAAAAGGAAGGACAGAAAAAAAAGTTCAAAATGGCAATATACTGGATTTATGTACCAGGCAATAGATTTGAGAAGTTATGATAACAAGGGATAGATAGTGGAAGAAAGAAATATACAGGGAAGGGGCAGAGGAAGCAGAAAGGGACAGGCTCAGAAATGAAGAAAGATTGTTTATTTTTTGAAGCATCAGAAAGAAGGGAAAGAATATACATATTGTGTTGAAGTATATAGTTTTTCTAGGATATGGGAATAAGCTACCATGCATATTATTTTTCTCAAAAAAACACTGCAAGCACCATAACCATTAAAGCCTATACTTGAAGTGCTCCTTGGTCTTCACAGTCCCCTTATTGGATAAGTTGTTGAAATGTTTAAGAAAAAATTGGCACCTTACCTGAGTCCACCAAGTGCCAGCTCCCACCTTCTCTACAACCATAAAGCTCTACATGGTGCCAGGCCTGGTGGTGATCAGAGGCACTTATTGGCTGCATGGCAGAAGCAGGCCATTCTTAAGTAGTTTGACTACATATCCTATAAGGGTGCCACCAGGCTGTAGTGCTTGGAATGTACCTTTATTTGTCATTATAGAGTTTTGCTTGTTAATGCTGAGCATATTGTATTTGGCATATACATTGATAGATTATAGCTGACATAACCTTAACATTATTCATGTTTGAGATTCTGTATTTCTAACTACAACATACTTAAAACAAATTTCAAATAGGCTAAAAAATCCACCAACCTAGCATTGGCTTGTGTGGAGATTACAAGCTATAGTGGATCTTTATGGTTAATAAATGTTTTTTATAATATTTTCATGTTCTAGGAAAATAATATAGTTTTTTAAAATCATGTGACTGTTGAGTTTGTTTTGCTACTGCATCATCTTATTTATTATATTTGTAAATGAGAGGTAACATGTTAGACATTATAGTTGATAACTTTAAAGCAGGTATGAAAAGACTAATCAAAAATTGACCATGTAAATTAAGGGTTCTCTTCACTAAATGTTGAATTACAATTAAAATTTGCCCTAGGCAGTTTAATTGTCACAATTTGGCTGTGTTAAACCTGTTAGTCACAAAATACTTCATCCAACTTTGCACTTTCATTAGACTGCAATTTGTCTGTCTATAGAAATCAGCTGAATTTCCATACTGAAAAAACTCAGCTAAATTGCAGCCAAATTGTAACTGAATTGGCTTAATTTGTTTTTTCCACTTTCACTGATAGAGACCAGGGGACTTGAAACTAATATATTTCTGTTCTCCGTCCATGGTAAGGATGAAGTTACACTCCATGATGCCAGCTATAGTGAATCCCAATCTGCTCTCCAGACACTCATGCAATGCTTGGCCAACAGGCTGTTGGTTCTGCATATTCTATACAGATGTTGCAGGTTGGGTTTAGCTCTAGAATAATCAATGATTAGCATCTGAACACTCCTGGCAGAAGTACAGGACACACTCACATTGTTTTCTGTACTCCAGGGCCAATGGAGCTGCCATCTCCATATGGCATTCTGTATACCTCTATCCTCTATATCCTCAACAGCTGCCTCATCTCCTCTCTGCTATTGGTCAGCCTCTAATTATCTATATGTGTCTATGTTTTATTTATTTATTTATCTATCACAATTCCTTTTTGATGCACTAGTGTTTCATGTTCTGACCTGTGACTACTTTTGAGTTCAGTAGTGCAATGCCACTCAGCTCCATTGTTGTTTTCAATTTATTTCAGTGGTGTCTAGTAAGTTACAAAGTGTTAACTTATGGTGTAGGTGATCTGCTCCTTTTAAAGTTCATGTAAGTAAAGCATATGCCAAATTGCCTTTCCAATGAGCTTTTTGTAAATGTTGTTCTTACTAATTGTGTACCATTAAAGCGCTCTTTCTTTAATTAAACCCTTTGGGGATTAGTTGGCATTTCTTTGGCCCAATTCTCTTAGCATTCAGTGTAGTTGAATACACTGAGCCACAAAGGTATTTAACCTCTTAAGGACGGAGGCAATTGTACACGTTCTGAATAAAACAAGATGTACACAAAACCTGGAATTTAACTATATGACTGTTCAACCATAAT